GGAATGCCAAGGGCTCAGAGAGGAGCTGGAAGGTGACAGTCGTGCCTGTGGTGGTCGGAGCACTCGGGGCAGTGAACCCCAAACGAGATGAGTGGTTGCAACAGATCCTGGGAACAACATCGGACATCTCAGTCCAGAAATGTGCAGTGCTGGGAACAGCAAGGATACTGCGCAGAACCCTCAAGCTTCCTGGCCTCTGGTAGAGAACCCGAGCTGAATAAGGCATGGACACCACCCAGGGGTGAGTATATATATATATAGAGAGAGAGAGAGAGAGAGAAGGCGGACGTGAGTGAGGACAGGCATGCGGCGAAGAAGTGTTTGATTGCTAAAACATAAAACACACAAGTAAACACTTGAACACGTTTAAACACTTTAAGTAAACACACTTAAACACACAAGTGTTTGAACAGTAAAACACACTGAAAAGCACTTAAGTGTGTTCAACACTTAAGTACTTCAAAACACTTAAGCACTTAAGCACTTAAAAACTACTTAAGTACTTAAAACAACTTAAAACACTTAAAAGTTTTTAAGTACTTAAATTTTTTAAAGCACTTAAAAAAACCTAAAATTTTTAAAGCACTTAAAAAAACCTAAAAGCACGTAAGTACTTAAAATCACTTTAGCACTTAAAATCTTTTAAGCACGTAAGTGCTTTTAAGTGTTTTTAAGTACATAAGTAGTTTTAGTGCTTGTTTTAAGTACTTATAAACGTTTAAGTGCTTAAACGTTTTTAAGTGCTTTTAAGTGTTTTTAAGTACATAAGTAGTTTTAGTGCTTGTTTTAAGTACTTATAAACGTTTAAGTGCTTAAACGTTTTTAAGTGCTTTTAAGTGTTTTTAAGTACATAAGTAGTTTTAGTGCTTGTTTTAAGTACTTATAAACGTTTAAGTGCTTAAACGTTTTTAAGTGCTTTTAAGTGTTTTTAAGTACATAAGTAGTTTTAGTGCTTGTTTTAAGTACTTATAAACGTTTAAGTGCTTAAACGTTTTTAAGTGCTTTTAAGTGTTTTTAAGTACTTAAGTTGTTTTTAAGTGATTTTAAGTATTTACGTGCTTTTAGGTTTTTTTAAGTGGCCCAAAAACTTGTTTTAAGTACTTAAAAGCATTTAAGTACTTAAGTCTTTTTTTAAGTGTTCTTTAAGCACGTAAAAAGTTTTAAGTACCTAAAATATTTTTAAGCACCTAAGTACGTAAAGGTTTTGAAGTATTTAAAAAAACTTAAGTACCTAAAAACTTAAGTACTTACTTAAGTTTTTTTAAGCACTTTAAAAAACTTAA